AAGATCCACCTCGCGATAATGTCCGTAGTGATGCTGAAATACCAAATTAGATTGAAATCAGTAGTACAAACGTTGAGCCGGCGAAGAAGTAGAAACGACAAGACACGCCGCTCCTCGGCCAGAAACAGTTCGCCAACGAAGCCAAGCCAGCAGGTAGAGCAAGCCAAAGAAAAGGAAGAAGTGAGCTCGGTGGCAACGAAGACTGCACCTCCATTACTTTGTCGGATATCTCCTCTGTCTCCCGAGCTCCTAGCAACTCCGATGCCGAAAGATTTCAAGGTACCCCTGTTAGACAAGTATGACGGGTCATTTGACCTCAACGATCATGTGGATTCCTTCCAGTCTCAAATGCACCTAGCTGGCTGACAAGTCCTGCATGTGTGTGGCCTTCTCCACTACGTTTAGGGGGGGTGGTCCGAACTTGGTATCGGAACCTCACGCCGAGCTCCATCAAAAGCTGGTTACAATTTGCCAACCTATTTACTGCGCACTTCATTACCGGCAAGAAGTGCCCGAAGTCGCAAGAAAGCCTTCTGAACGTGGTTCAAAGGGAAGGAGAACCAATCAGAAGCTATATAAAGCGCTTCAACGATACTTGCTTGCAGATACTAGACCTCGATCCAGCGGTGTGACTCACTGCGACAAAGAAAGGAATCACCCATAAAGAGTTCAAGTGGCATGTGGTAGCTAACAAACCAAAAGATATCTCCGAGTTCCTCAAATTGGCAGATCAGTTCATCGGTACTGAGGAGGAGATCAACCAAAAGATTGACAATCCACCGCCGGAGAAGAGGAAGATAGAGAATGAAGGGACGAGCAATGGTGGGTAGAAAAGAAAGTTCCCGAGCAGGGGAAGAAGCAAGTCAAGAAGTCGGTCCCCCTCACGCACCCACAAGCCAGGTCAGCGCTCCAGGACCCCACCCGTGGAGAGAACGAGCTATACGCCTTTGAACGCTAAGCGAGGAGAGATCTTAATGGTTATTAAGGATTCCTCCTTTGTCAAATAGCCTCCCAAGTTAAGGGGAGACCCGACAACAAGAAACTCGAATTTCTATTGCCATTTCCACCGAGATCATGGACACACCACGGAGAATTGCAGGAATCTCTGCGATGAGATTGAGGAACTTATCTGCCGCAGGTACATGAAGAATTACATATTGCGAGAAGAAAGGGGGCAAGCAGATCAACAGGGGGGGATCAGAGGAGGAATGGCCCCAAGGTCAGCAGGCAGAATGAACAACTATCGTGACAGTTGCTAGAGGAAAGACCAGTCCGCGGGGTGATTGATCACCGGCGGGTCCATCATTGTCAGATGTACATTGGCAGCTGGGAGGACCTCGGTCCGCGAATTGGAGAACGAAGGTGAAAACCCCGCCAAAGCGACCTCAACTCAAAGAACCGATCCTTTAGTAGTGAAGCTAAGGATCAACAACTTCGAGGTAAAACACATCTTGGTGGACTCAAACAGCTCAGCAGACATACTCTTCAAGGAGATCTTTGACAAATTACAGTTACAATAGAGCGACATGAAACTGGTAGATACGCCTTTGATAGGGTTCAACGGCGAGGAGGTCAGGCCTCTTGGCCGAATCAGAGTACCGTGGAAGTCGGCACGTGGCCAAACATTGTGCGATTTGAGCCCACGTTCCTGGTAGTCACGACTCCCTCCCCCTACAATGCAATAGTAGGTCAACTTATCACGCATGTTTTATGTGCGATAGTGTCCATTTACTACTTAGCGATGAAATTCCCAACTGATTACGGAGTGGGAATTGTGAGAGGTGACCAGCTCAAATCCCGCAAGTGCTACGTGGCTGCCTTAAAAGGAAAAGAAAAACTAGTAGAGGATATCAAGCTCGAGCAATCGATGGAGTATACCGATGAGCGAGCGACCCCGAAAGAAGAAACGGTCCACATACCAGTCTTTTCTATCGAACCAGCTAAAACTCTTCAGATCGGTGTCTCGATCAGCGAACCACTTCGAACCTAGCTAGTAAGTTTCTTACTTGAAAATTTAGATATTTTTGCTTGGTCCGCGACAGAGATGCCCGGGATTGATCCAAAAATTATAACTCACAAACTTAATAATATCGACCCTTTAGTCAGGCTAGTAAGACAAAAGAAATGCAACCTCCCCCCAGAACGTTGGAGGGTACTCAATGAAGAGGTCAAAAGCTCCTCGCAGCAGACTTCATGAGGGAAGTCCATTACCCGAGCTGGGTGGTCAACCTGGTTCTGGTGAAAAAGGCCAATGGAAAATGGCGCATGTGCGTCGACTACACCGACCTGAAAAGCGCCTGCTTAAAAGACTGCTTCCCGTTGCCCAAGATCGACCGCCTAGTGGACGTGACCTCAGGGCATGCGTTATTGAGCTTCCTAGATGCTTATTCCGGTTACAACCAGATTAGGATGGATCCCGCTGACAAAGACAAGACCGCTTTCATAACTGAGCTCGGGTTATATTGTTACAAGGTCATGCCCTTCGGATTGAAAAATGCTGGGGAAACATTCCAGTGCCTTGTAAATAAAATTTTTGATCCATTGATCGGCAATAAAGTAGAATGTAATGTTGATGACATGGTCGTGAAGACCTAGTTTTCAAATTCTTTGTTGAATGATTTAAAAGATATTTTTCAAATTTTACGAAGATATGACATGAAGTTAAATCCGAATAAATGCGTCTTCGGAATCGCTTCGGGTAAATTCCTAGGTTATATAGTCAACCGATGTGGCATCGAGGCCAACCTAGACAAAATAAAAGTGATCCTAGATATAAGACTACCCCGAAAAAATAAAAGAGGTCCAGAGGCTGACTGGCCGGATCGGCACCCTGAGCCGCTTCATGTCTAAACCGGCAGATCGGTGCCCACCCTTTTTTAAAGCTATAAAAAAGAGTAAGAACTTCAAATGGACTGAAGATTGCTAGTTTGCTTTTGACAAGGTGAAAAGGTACTTAATCACTGCCCCAATTTTTACTTGATCCGAAGAAGGGGACGTGTTAAAACTATACCTCTCTACGAGCGATGAAGTGGTTAGTTCGGTACTGATTAAAGAAGTAGATCGGGTTCAACAATCCATCTACTATGTTAGTAAAATTTTGTAGGATGCAAAAACTAGATATCCGGAGATTGAGAAAATAGCATACGCACTGATCATAGCAGCCCAAAAACTTCGCTCGTACTTCCAGGCCCATACTATCGTTGTTCTTACCAACAAACCCCTGAGGCAGATTCTGCTCAAGCCTGAGGTGTCTGGAAGATTAACGAAGTGGTCCATCGAGCTGAGCGAATGCGATATCCGGTATGAGGCTCGACCTGCAGTCAAAGCCCATGTCTTGGCAGATTTCGTAGCAGAGTGCACGTTTGGAGTTAACCGAGTTCGCTCACACGATGGGAGCATCAACCAGTGTGGCGCCAGCCCCAGTCAGAGTGGAACCAACCTGGGACGAGGAGCCCTGGATCCTCGCTGGGTTAGTCACCCCGGGTTCTCTGATCTACTATTTTTCAGCTTGGTCTAGCTTGCCGCGCAACTGGAGTTCGGATCGTCTTCCAACTAGGAATATCTAGATCTCACACCATCAGGAGGCATGAGATGAAACCCGAATAACTGGAGACTCTTTGTGGTATGAACTGTGGGCCACATGTGCACCTTACACTTTTGTTTTTTTTATTTGGGG